TAATTAAAACAGCCTAAATAATGTTCCTGTGGTTTAGTCTGCATCATTCACTTAGAAAAGCAGGAGATGGGGATGTTGGCATGAAACATTGAACAAATCTTTACCTCCGCATATTTGCCCTGATTTTGACATAGAAGGGCCAAGTTATTCAGCTGTTTGGCAACATCAGGATGATCAGACCCAAGGACCTAGAATAATGATGTTATTATGGTGCATTTTCCAACCTTTTCCCTTATTTCCAAAGCCCGTTTGCAAAGCGGCTCCGCTTCCTTATACTTGCCACGCTTACCATAAAGAACTGCTAAGTTGTTCAATGTGGCGGCAACCTAGCCAAAAGAAGATAAGATGAGCAAAGACCTACGGCTGGGTGATCAGGGCCTAAATGCTTTTCACGAATAACTAAAGCTTCGTTCAGAAGAGCCGCTGCATCCTTGTACTTTCCTTGGTCTCTAGGTTTAGGATCGATTTATTTGACACAAAAGTACCTGTAGACAAGAGCGAGTATATTAAGCATGGTCGCAACATCTGGATGGTCACGACCACTTGATCGCTCCAGATCCTCCAGTGCCTGTTTGCAAAGGGGAACCGCGACCTCGTAACGGCCCTCACCAGCATACTGAATGACCAGGTTGTGCAGTGTACGCAACCTTGCTGGGATTTCGTAGTTGCTAATGATTTGGGACATCACAGTTGTCTGACTTGAGGACATAACTAAATTAAATTAGCATTTAGTACAATGCAACACACCATCTTGATCATGTTCATCCTTCTCGTCGAGGTTCAATGTTTTGTCGTCTTTGGCTCCAGCATCATTACCAGGCAGGCCACTCTGGTCAGGTGAGTCGTACTTACTAATTTCATTTACGAATTTTAGGTGTTTGATCTCTTCTTCGAGATTCACAACTTTAACCTCACTCTGACGATATAAGCCCTGCACAGTTGCTAGTTCTTCCCTCAACCACGCATTCTCCAGCAAGAGACGTTTGCTCTGCGCCTTCAGCCTCTGCTTTTCGGCCTCAGCACTTTGAACGTAATCGGATACAACAATGAGTTCCTGAAAAAATAACAGTGAATGCAACTTCATACATTTCCGTCTCCAAGAGCCTGTTCAATCTTCTCTACGAAACATTCTAACGATTCGATTTTCGGCGACTTTGGTTGGCCGTTCGACCCGCCTCCATTTAGTAAGTCCTCTAGGGTAGCCTTGTGTTCATTTCGAAGAGACTCGAATACTTTCATCGTAGAACGCAGCTGCGTCATTATCTCGGATTGTGATAAATCCTCCATTGCAAAATGAATAAAAAAACACGAAAACGGTGAGGCAAATGTGGTTCCCAACTGCAAATAACACGACAATGGCGTCAATAGTTTAAACCAATCAATAACGAGCAAAGTCACAATGGGGAAAAACTTAGTCAAGGAGCAGCCTTAGTATCTATTATTGAATTTTTAGGGTTACAAAAACTGTTCCTTCATTCGCACGTATTGGCAACTTTAGTTATCCGTTGTAATAAAAAAAATTTACCTGCAGCCAAATTCTAGCCACAAAAGTTCTCTCTAGCATTAAAAACATGATCTGCATTTTCCGCGTGTGTATTGCATCGAAGGCAAAAAAGGAAATTAGAACATCATCTGCTCCTACGATTAGTAAACATGTAATAACATAAACCTATTTCATTAGAACACATTGCGTATAAGAAAGCGAACTGCTAATTAAGAAAGTGGTTACAACACAAGACTTTCAGCTAAATTAGCATGAAGTTATATTTGATTAAGAGTACGTGACAGAACACATTTCAACGACAGCCAATGAGTCAACAACAATTCCATTAATTCCACTACTTCGTGGATAAATAATTAAAAATTTATATACAGTTGTGTAATTTCCTTTATGTTGACTGCATTACCCCCCTATATCAATTTCTCCATTCAAATAAACATTCTAGCGATGTTTATAAGCTTGTCGTAAATCTACCATCCTAAGTTAATCCTATTATTTTAGCTATGGCAACTAAGCTGTTTTCTCTGAGTGCACCTAAAAGCACTCCTGAGACGACACCAATTGCACGTACCTGTGGACATTTTGCCGCACACTGCCACTGATTCAAGGGGCTGCCTAAAGCCAGCTACTTTATTCTAGTAAACTTGTTGTAAAAAAATACTACGATATCTTTCCATGCAGTTAACTTAAATTACACAGTGGTTTAGTTGAACAAAGTGCGCGAAAAATTAGTGGGAACAAGTACTGAATGAAGACGCGTGTGTTGACGCATTTTGGTCCCTTTTGAGGCGCCATTGCCACAATTTGAATTCTCGGGTTACACCACCAGTCAACGCCACGGCATGTTTCATTGAATACAGGAGTTAAGCTATCTGATTAATAGTGTCCGAATAAGAAACGTTCCGATTTCACATCTACCGTCCAAAGAAAAGAAAACATCAGGGCTTTATACAAAATGACTCACATATCACAAAACAGTAAAACACGACCCTTCAGCACGCCTTTACACGGCTGAATAAATACACGTAGATAGATGCTATGAATTCACAGTAGATGGCTGCTGTCCGGAAAGATGGTTAAGAACCTGGCACATTGCCCACGTTTTTCGTAGAGCACGTTGGCGCTTCTTCCATCGTCTGGGTTTTTCATCTGAAGCAGAGACGACTACTTTGGCAGTGGACGCTTTTTTGCGACAGGATAGAGGATTCGGCCCAGATACGCCTCGTTTCTTTTTCTTCTTTTGGATGTCAATGTCCTTTTGCAATCCAAATTTTGCCTCAATTTGATGGAGCCTTTCTGTCTGCAATATCACAACAATGAACCAGAGTTCATCATTAAATGTCGCCAGGTTAACTTGGATTGTCACTACTATATGCGATTGAACCTCAGACATTACTTTGATTTTGTATTACAGTTCAGCTCATCATGTCTTTCGGCTTGTTCCAAATATTAAAATGCCTATGAGCAGGATCTCAGGAGAGCATGTAATTGGACATGTATGTGAATTGCCAGAAGGTATGACGCAACAGTTCATAAAACTTTCGTCAACCCCAGAAGCAATTCCCGATCTGTGGACTACCAGAAGTACTGGCTTGAAATCGACAGCACCTCTGTAAACCACGTTGGTAATTAAGGCCTACGCAAATGAAAATTAACTTCACCAAAGCATGCCTTGACTCGCCACAAAATTTTCCTGCCGAAGTATTGACAGTTTTAGCATTCACTCTTAACATTATGACACGAATTATCAATATTTTTCTAGTTTCGTTGCATACTCTTCCAGAATCCAGGGTTACTGCAAACAGTCATCACTTATTATGAGATATGGATATTTTCAGGCATGAACGCGTGTGCAGCTTTCGTTGAACAAAATTCAAGGATACAAATGCTCTCTACAATTTTAAAATACTACTACGTACTTCAAACGGGTTCATTGAAAGGCTTTGGGATGTTAATTTTTCGACAAGTTGTTGAGTTGTTTCTGGAATGGGTTCAGTGTTAAGGCAGCGTTGGGCAATGAACATGACGGGCATTCCGGGGACTTCTCGCGCACGATACCGTAAATCGGAGTCATTTGATGCCAGCGCGAAAAGAAAACACCGTTCACCCTTATTTAATCTACCAAAGCGTTGGCTGTGCTTTCGTGAAATACGAATCCTCTTGCGAATACACCAAGCAGCGCCAAGAGAAGGGTTGTATTCATGCCGACACTTGAGTACACTAAATCCTTCAAGAATTTTGAGAGTGCCATAAAATAGCGACCCGAGAGCACGACATTCAGCGATGACGCAGGAGGAAGTCAAGAGTCTAAAGCCGCGCCCAACCAAGTTGGAAATGCTGTCGTAAATATTGACGTGA